ATATATATATATATATATATATTAATGGTTTTTCTTGTTTGATAACGATTAAAAAAAATAATTGTAGTATTATGTTGTAAATATACAGTAGTCGAAAAGTTTCATGCTGACTTTAAAAGCCAAAACTACATGCCTAGAGGTGTTTGTTTTTTAATTTTAATTTTATTATCTGTTCTATCTTTTATATCTGTTGTGTCCAAGTGTCTTTCTGTAAGCACAGTTTTTGCTTTGGAGGGCTGAATTACAGTTACAACTTGTATTTCTTCAGCAGTATATGAGAGAATATTCTATTTATTCCAAACAAATCCAGACAAATTTAATTGTTATTAATACTCTTTTAGTTTTCTGAATAGTTTATTTTTAATGAACATGCTTTGACTTTTCTGATCTCCCTGCATGTGCCTATGGATGGTTTGATCCAGGCTTACTGACTAACTTGAATTATACTTGACTGCATTTGGTCCTCACAAAGACACAAATGATACGAGTCAATTTTGTTCTGGGGGTCCTTGAGGATGGTTCTGAATTGGACTGGGGTCCGGTACGCCAAAAGGTTGAGATTCACTGTGTTACAGCACGAGTCATTTGGAGTGTGTATGTGATGTGCTGATATATTCGTTCATTTCATTGTTCTTCTCTCTTTCTGAAGCGTTGTGTCCAGAGGAGGCAGAGTCAGCACTGGAGGCCACGCAGTTCTTCACTGACGATGACATGCCACAGGGTACATGAATGAGACGCGTTTACTACCTGAATAGCATTTTAAGCCAACATTAAAGAAATGTTTCAGGTTCAGTGCAAGTTAAGCTCCACAGAAAGTTATTTTGCCTTTTTTCTGCACTTACAATGAAAGTAAACAAGATTACGCACTTTAAGGGTTTAAAGTTGCCGTGAAATGATTGTTTTTTAAAGCATGTTACTGATCTTATTGTGAACAATTCATCTGTGCATTCTTTAATGTTTTTGTATATAACATTATATGTAATTATATATATAAATATGTATTATATTTGAAAGAAATATATAAATAAAATTAGGGCATTTGATTTTAATTGTCAGATGTTGAAATAAATTGTGTGTATATGTGTATGTATATATATATATATATATATATATATATATATATATATTTATGGTTATATTCTCTCTTTCAACTCTAACACTTTCCTTCTTTCTTTCTCTTGTTCTCTCTCCCTCTCTCGTTCTTTCTTTCTCATCTGATCAGATCCTCCCTTCCTGTCTCATCTGGACTTCCTGGCACAGGAAGTGACCTCAGGTTTGTGTCTGTCTATCATTTCGAGTGCATTCTCTGTCTCTGGTGTTTGGGGCATCAGATGATGCTGTCAGTGCAGATGACTTTTTTTCTTCTTCTCATTTACCTCCTCTGTTGGTTTTGGTGTTTTCCAGTCTTTTTCACCATGTCTTTCACATGATATCATCTTACCTTTGTGGTGTTCTTTTCATTTTTAACCATGGGTTTGATGTCATGAAACCTTTCCGGTGAACTCTTTTAAGTGGTTAATGGTTAAATGTCGTTTTGATGTCAGTGTTTATTAATGCAGCATTAATGTCGTAACAGGTGAGGGGCTGAAGGAGGCAGGAGACGCATCAGCGGCCGGAGACACAGATGAGAGAAAAGGTGATAATACTCGGCTTTTGATGACTCCGCTAAGGAATCTGTTTAATCTGGTTATTTCTTTAATGGCAATGTCGTGTGTTTTTCAGAGGAGAAGCTGAAGGACTATAAGTACTATCTGAGAATGTGGGCCAAAGAAAAAGAGCCAAAGAAGGAGAGTATTAAAGATCTGCCTCGGATGAATCAGGTGACCTCGCTGATCTCGCTCTCATTTGTTGGGAAAGAAATTTAGGCTACTGTATGTTCACATTGCAACTGAATGTGGCCTAAATCAGATTTTCCACTGACAAATAAGCAGATGCATATCTGATGTCTGTGCAGTGATTTCAGTGTGAACAATCAGATCTGATTTAAACTTTTTACCTGTCATAACTGCATGCTTTATTTACCCTCGGCGTGAACCGTAAAGTGATTTATGAATTGCATTGAATGAAGCATTGCACAGAAACCTGCAAAAATATGTGTTGATGTGCATTCGATTCTTTGGAAAATCACAATTAAATTAAATTCTAATGTGTAGAGTTAAAACCCAAAGTCCAAAGCTGTTCTTGTTCTATAATAAAAAGTACATTTAAATTTGAAAGTGGATACATTATTATTAATGTTATATAATTAATATTATTATTCTAATAAATCCAGCCAGATTGTGGATTCTGAAAGTACTTTTTATATGTACCCTAAACATTGCAATTGAACTAATTCTTTGTGCATTACATCTGTGCCCTGCGCTTACAGTTAAAATTAAGTATTCAGATTCAGAGGTTTACATGCATAATATTTTCCTATTTAACTAATTAACATATGTGTATCACTCCTTTTATTGGATTATTAATTACTTGTGCTGTCAAACAATTAATCGCATACAAAATAGAAGTTTTTGTTTGCATAATATATGGTGTGTTCTGTGTATATTTATTATGTATATATAAATAATCACACATACAGTATATATTTTGAAAATATTTTCATGTATTTACATGTTTATGTTTATATTCATAAAATGTATATTATAAATAAATATAATATATAAATATTTCTGAAATATATACATGCATGTGTGTGTATTTATATATACATAATAAATATGAACAGCATATGTACATATATTATGTAAACAAAAACTTTTTTGGATGCGATTAATCGTTTGACTGCACTATTAATGAATTTATTAACTTATATTATAAATGCTAAAAAATTATATATCATACTTTGAAATTAACATTATTTTGCTCTTAAATCATTTTAACAATTATTAAACTGTAAAGTTATTTACGAAATGCACTGTATGAAGGATTGAGTTTTAGATCTATATATATATATATATATATATATAAACCTTCAAAAATTAAAATTCATTGGGCTGTGTGTGTGTGTGTGTATATACATGTGTACACAACACATTTTAATTTTATTTAAAATCATATCAAATCAGGATTAAGTTATTAAGTAGCATCCTAGTATTGCAGTGTTTTTTCAACCTATTGGAACAGAACATTAGTATTAAGACTACAACACATTTTTGTGTGGTCATTCAATTACAGGAGCAGTTCATTGAGATGTGTAAGACTCTCTACAACATGTTCAGTGAAGATCCCATGGAGCAGGAGCTGTATCACGGCATCGCCACGGTGGCGAGTCTCCTGCTGCGCATCGGAGAAGTGGGCAAGAAATTCACCAACAACGGCAGCCAGAAAACCGAAGTCCAGCTGTCCTCAGCAGTCGACGCTCTGCAGCCGGAGAGGGAGGACTCGTCCGGGGAGGGAGGATCAGGACAGTCCTTGGTCTCCAAGGCCCTGGCTGAGGCGCAGCTGGAGACGCCACCTGCAACAGCGGCTGGCTCTGATGAAGAGGCCAAAGACGACACATCCGTTTCGTCCTACTCTGTAGTGAGTGCTGGTTCGCTGCAGTGCGAGGACATCGCCGACGACACGGTGCTGATTGGCTGCGCAAGCGGAGACGTGGTGGATCGAAGGCGGGGCAGTGTGCCGGATGCCGATTGGTCGATCACCTTTGAGCAGGTTTTAGCATCGTTTCTGACGGAAACATCACTGGTCGACTACTTTGAGAAAAAACATGACATCCAGAGCAAAATAACGGCATGCAAGTCACTGAGAGCCGTGGAAAGACAGACAAGTACGTCAAGCGATCACGATTTCTCTCTGAACACACACTGACATGCTCATAAAAACATGCATGAACACAAACACACACAAATGCAAAACAAGAATATGTGTATGTATGTCCGGTTATTATCTATAGGAGTTTGATACTTCTGTGTCATAGTCAAACAAATAGTGTTTAATTCTATACCAGTAACCTCTGGAGTTTAGATGTAATAACCACGTTTCACTCTAGCATAGGGGTTTTGATGGGTTGAATGCATCAACTAGCAGGTCTGGAATAGAGGATTATGGGATATGGCATGCTTCGGCTCATACAGATCAAAGAATGAAACATCACACTAAAAATATTTTATTTGCACACTGAAATATCCCACACTACAGTGTACATCACTAATGCGTTCTTGCACGTGTGCTATAGCTGGATATATTGTGTATTCGAGAGTAAGAAGTGTCCTTTCGGTGAAGAATCCAACTCATAGCTCTGCTCAGATTCACTTCAACCCCTCAGATGGAAAGAGTCTCTTAGCTTTGGTTCAAAGCCATGTTTCTGTGTGTTAAAAATCAGCTTTACCGTTTTTAAGTAGGTCATTGCCTTACTGAAGTGAACTGATGCATCGTTTGTTCGAAGACAGCGTTGCATGTGTTTGTTGTGGTGTTTTGCGAGGATAGCGCCATAGTTATGTTCTGTCAGATGTTTGGTCGCCAGAAGCTACACAAGCGGTACAGCGCTGGCTTATTTTAGTCATCCAAACCATAATGAGAGATGCAGTAAAAAATGTAGCCGATTAATTTAGCACAATATTGGCCTTTACCACATAAAGCAGGAGTTTTTTTCTCTTTTACTGTCCAAAAAATTTTTTTGCTGTCAGGCCAGAATAAGCATGTACAATCACTGGGCTTCGTTCATGAAACTCAAGCAGAGCGAATTTGGCATTTGTACATGAATTGTCACATTGAGATAAATGAAACATTCATAAATTGGATTGAATGCACAATGCAAACAACATTTGTAAATGTTTGTAAATTGAGGCACTGAATTAAAATTAAGCATTCAAGAATTCACTAAACTGTTGAATCATGTAAATTATTGAATTTAATTTAGTGCATCAATTTACTGTTTTATAAACACTTTTTAGGCATTGTGTGTTAAATTAAAAGAAAACATTCAGTATGCATTAAATTGTTGCATTGAATAAAAATTCATATGAAATTTTATTTACTTAATAATTTAATTGATACATTTGAATTTAGATAAACCATTCTTATAAATAATAGCATTCAATTAATAAAAAAAATACGTTTGCATATTTTTATGTAAATTTATGCACTGAATTAAAATTCAAGAAATCATGTAAACCGTTGAATTGAATCATGTAAATTATTAAATTTAATTCCGTGCATCAATTTGCATTAATTTACTGTTTTGCAAATGTTTTATGCATCGCGTGCTGAATTAAATGAAAACAGTCAGCATGCATTAAATTGTTGATTAAAAAAATCATATCTGTGTGAAATTATATTTACAAAAATGTATGTTTGAATTAAGTTAAACCATTCTTATATAAGTCATAGCTTTAAATACATTTTTAAAAATTCTTAGATTATTATTTTTTTCTCTGTAAAATCATTGAAGGTTAAAAATGTTTGCTTGTGTTTTATAAATGAGGCCCTGTTATGTTTATTTTGGAATGCAGTAAAAGTAACATTTTCATTTCTTGATCGCTATGCTGCTTTATATCAAATGAAGATGGAGAAAAAATGGAGATAACTTTTAGTCTGGAGAAACGCTCAGGCATAACATGATGTTCTAGAACGTTTAAAAAACTTATTCTAAGCATGTATGTACATTGAGATGAAACTAGAACCTCTTGTTTAAGGACAGGCTTGGCCTTTTCATCCTGATCTTTAATCACATGACTGAACGAGTCTGGACGCTTGCATGTAATCAGATGTAGTTGAGCTTCTTAACCTGTAAATAGTTGCATATCACATTATTATAGCAGAAGTTTTATCGTGCAATGATCGTTCTGGTTTGTTTTCAGTCATGTATCGCTCTGCTTTTGTTTGTCCCGTCACCTGTAATTGGTTTCTATTCTATATTTGTGATTTTTAACAGTTGCTTTTGTACTAAGTAAATTAGCTTTAAATTAAGCCTGTTCAGGCTTTAAAAAATCCTGAAAGATTTCAGTATTAATTTTCAGTTGTTTAAAGAGCTTTAAAACATGATTTAAATGGGGCAGAATTCAGAAGACAACATTTGGACCAGTACAAATGAGAAATTTTAAATCACTGATGCATTAAAATATATAAAAATGTTTTTAAAATTGCTCACATTGATTTAAAGCATCAGTTCATCTCCGCTATGAAATGCACTTTTGTCATTTGAATGTGAATGAATCTCCTGCTCCTGCCACATGACCTCTGTCGAACTGTGAAAATAACTGACTTCACCTCACTGTGATTCTAATTAACTGTTAATTCATGCACAAACTAACACTGTTTCCACTTTCATTCTGCATTTCGCAAAAGGAGTGAATCTGTCCTTGTTATTCTCTTGCTGGAGAGTTCCAATTTCTGTAGGCTTCTGTCTGTGACCTGCAGTTACTTATTGTCATGAAAGCAGTATTGTGTAATATTATGTAATAAAAATCAAGTTATGGAAAATCTGAGCGTTTTGAGTCTTTTCGTGCACATCCACTTTAAGTTAACGCGAGTTGTCCAAAGCACAACAAACCTTGTAACCTCAGTCATGACTGAAAGAAATGTGCCAAGAAACATCTTCCAAAATAAAGCACTGATGACTTTTATTATGTAATGAACAAAGGAAAATGACTCTCAGTGAAATGTTGCATTAGTATCTGTTTGCAAAATTAGACCTGTTTAATTTAACCATCAGTGGTTACATTTATGGATTGAAAGTCATTTTAAAAAGATTATAGAAAATTAATAATTATAGAAAAATAATAATACTAAAAACATTTTTTGTATTAAACACTCTTAAAGGAAAAGTTCAACCAAAAATGAAAATGTACTAATCTTCAGGCCATCCAAGAGGCACATGAGTTTGTTTCTTCATGGGAACAGATTTGGAGAAATGTAGCATTACATCACTTGCTCACCAATGGATCCTCTGCAGTGAATGGGTGCCGTCAGAATGAGAGTCCAAACAGCTGATAAAAACATCACAATAATCCACAAGTAATTCACACGACTCCAGTCCATGAAATGAGTAGCTGCATGTTTGTAATAAAAAAACAATTAATCAAGACATGTTTTACTTAAAACTGTTGAGTCCACTATCCATAATATGCTTTCTCCAGTCTCGTCTGAATCAGGAGAGAAATATGCACTGATCAAGCACTGTTTACAAGTGAAAATAGTCCAAAACAGATGTAAACAAATATGTGGGTGGATTTTGATGTGCGAGGACAACAGGGGATGGACTTTTTCACTGGAGGAAGCGATATTATTGATTATAGACTCGTATTTTGGCAGGAAGACAGTTAAACCGCCTTAATAATGGATTTGTTTTTTACAAACACCCAGCCTTTTACTTCACAAGATGTTAATTGATGGACTGGAGTGGTGTGGATTACGGTGATGTTTTTATCAGCTGTTTGGACTCTCATTCTGACGGCACCCATTCACTGCAGAGGATCCATTGGTGAGCAAGTGATGTAATGCTACATTTCTCCAAATCTGTTCCTATGACCAAACAAACTCATCTACATCTTGCATGTCCAGAGGGTACATTACATTTTAGGCAATTTTTAATTTTGGGGTGAACTATTCCTTTAAAAATATAGTTTAAACCAGGGCTGTCCAAACTCGGTCCTGGAGGTCCGGTGTCCTGCAGAGTTTAGCTCCAACATGCCTCAACACACCTGACTGGACGTTTCTATGCCTAGTAAAGAGCTTGATTAACTGGTTCAGGTGTGTTTAATTAGGGTTGGAGCTAAACTGCAGGACACCGGCCCTCCAGGACCGAGTTTGGACAGCACCAAGAGCTTGTAACACTTCAAAGAGAAAGGAAAAATTGAAATCGCATCATATGACCCCTTTAAATATAATCCACAAGCTGCCTGCAGATGCGTGCATTTAAGTGCTAGAAAAGCAATGCAGCTGAAATGAAAATCAATGAAGTGTCTTGTGTGAAAACTCAAATGTTTGTGACACAATTGTGAAATTAGTTTAACTTACAGCACTGGAGAGACAGCAAGCGATTTGGTCAGATCCATGCATGCGATTTATATGAATGTGAGCTTTCAGAATAACTATTTGAATTTGTTTGTGTGTGAAATGTATAGTAGCTTTAACCTGCAATACAACTTATGTTTATATATATATATAAAAAAAGACGTTTTAATGCTGTTATTTCCATGCACCAATTTTGCAGTGACCGATCTGTCTTAAATCTGCCCTTCAAACTTCTGCCTTCTGTATGGTTTCAGATGAATTTTGTTATTTGTTGATCCCAAACGCTTGTGTGTGATAAGGCAGCCATTGCTCTGTAATGCGGCTGAAGGATCACAGGTTGTTGGCCTGTATGATCTGCTGTAGGATGCTGTCTACATCAGTCGTGTCGTAGCTGATTCCCTGCATATCCAGGCTTGGTAGGATGGAAGACAATAATGCAACCACATCCTGACGGATAGACCGCAACCTCTCCAGCGTCACACTGCTGTCAGAGTGAAATAACAAAGACAGGTTCATATTTGTGTATATATACATATATATATATATATATATCTACAAATACAGATACATAAAACACACAGTAGCATTTATTTGATTAAAAAAAAAATAATAAATTGTGAAATATTATTACAATTTTTAAAAACTGTTTACTATTTGAATAGATTTTAAAATGTAATTTATTCCTGTGATGGTAAAGCTGAATTTTCAGCATCATTACTCCAGTCTTCAGTGTCAACATGATCCTTCAGAAATCATTCTAATATGCTGATTTGCTGCTCAAGAAACATTTCTGATTATGATAAATGTCAAAAACAGATGTGCTGCTTAATATTTTTGTGGAAAATGTGATGCATATGAAAAAAGCATTTATTTGAAATGAAAATCTCTTGCAATATTATAAATGTCTTTACTGTCACTTTTGATCAATTTAATGCATTTGTGCTGAATAAAAAAATTTAATTGTCCCTCAAAAAACTATATCTGTAATATATAAAATATATATAGATGTATAAAATCAAATATTTAAAGAGAAAAAAAGACAAGTAATAAAATATAATAAACATGTAAAATAATGGGTTCTTTTAGCTATTTTGTCCAGCTGTAATCAGATACAACTATCACTTTTGATCGATTTAATGCATACTTGCTGAATAAAAGTATTGATTGCTTTAAAAAACATATTGTATTGATATATAAACTGAATTTTCAGCATCATTAATCCAGTCTTCAGTGTCACATGATCTTTTAGAAATCATTCTAATATGCTCATTTATTATCAGTGCTGGAAACTGTTGTGCTGCTTAACATTTTTTTGATGAATAAAAAGTTAAAAAGAAGAGCATTTATTTAAAATATAATTTTTTTCGAACAATATACACAACAGTTCAAAAGTTTGGGGTTTTTGAAAGAAATTAAAACTTTTATTCAGCAAGGATGTGTTTAATTGTTAAGAAGTGATAGCAAAGATTTATATTATTAGAAAATATTTATATTTTGAATAAATGCTGTTCTTTTTTACTTTTTATTCATCAAAGAATCCTGAAAAAAAGTATCACAGGTTCCTAAAAAATATTAAGCAGCACAACAGTTTCAACACTGATGATAAATCAGCATATTAGAATGATTTCTTAAGGATCGTGTGTAGGGCTGCACGATTATGACAAAAATCATAATTGTCGATTATTCCCTTGAAATACTGAAGACTGCAGTAATGATGCTGAAAATACAGCTGCGCATCACAGAAATAAATTATATTTTAAAGGATATTAAAATAGAAACCATTATTTTATATTGTAATAACATTTTGCAAGATTACTGGTTTTTTTCTGTATTTTTGATCAAATAAATGCAGCCTTGATTTGCATAAGAGACTTCTTTAAAAAACATTACAAGTCTTACTGATCCCAAACTTTTGAACGGCAATGTGCGTGTATATATTATATATATATATATATATATATATAAAAGGCGGGTATATAAGGCGAAAGCGCGCATCCACTCGTTAGGTTTTACACTGAGGAGCCGAGAACGTGTCC